TGAGACTTTCATAGATTTTATTTCATGAGATTTGTTTCTGGCCTTAGCAAAGAAAGTATAGTCAATACTGTTACACTTAAAGTGACTTGCCACTTCCTTTTAAAACAAAGGAGTGTTATAACCTCAAGTTCATTGAGTCAGTCAAAGGTACTTGATTATTGTAAATTGGTTATTGCAATTTGTTTACAGTAAATTGGTTGTTGCAATTTGTTTACAAAGACAATTTTTGACAGCACTGTTGGCAAGAAGTATTGTAACACTTGAATACATACAGTTTTATTCTTATTACTTGTTAAACATTCAGTATAGAGTAATAACAGATGAGACCACTGCTGTATTGATGAAAAATAAAAGCCATTTAAAAAAAAGAGAAATTAAAGTGTACAAATATATATATACAATATTAGAACTTTAAGTACTTTTAAGTTTTAGATCCAAGTTTTAATGTTTATATAATTAAATACCTGTAGTGTCTCCAACAACTTGCAGGAAGCTGCCACTTGCTAGGAATCTAAGACTGCAGCATACCTGCTGCTCAACGGACAGCGCATGGTTTCTCATAGAATTTCTTGTTAAAACTTGTTTAAGGAGACTGCACACAAATAAAATAGACTGCCGTCCAACGCGGTACCGCTGCCTCAGCTCTTGATCAGTAAAGGTCCCATCCAGGATCTTCTGGTGCCTGTATATTCGTTCCTTTCTCTGAGGAGGCACAACTACCAAGGCTAAGGCGGCCATGTTTGACGACTCGTTAAGTATTTAATCATGGGTAAGAGAATGATTAAAGTTAGCGACTATTTAGCGAGTCATTAAATCTTAACTTTTTTTGAACAACAGTTAACGACGTCGTTAACTTTTAACGACTCGCTAACCAGGGTTTAACGACATCGTTAGCTTAACGATAGTTTTGAACAACCGGCCCCAGGAGGAACATGAGTGATTTGATCAGGAAGCTGTGTAAAACCGTCTCTAGTAATTTTATAAATGAAAACCAAACTCTATGATTAATTTGATGACATTGGCGCTAGTTTGGTTTTAGATGATGATCTAAAGAACCAGCAATTTATCCGATGATCTAAATTACATTTAGATCATTTAGATCATTTCCCCCGGTAAATAAAGTAGCTGTGCCACTGAGATTTGGATAACAAACTCAATTAATATAACAAAACTCAATTAATATAACCAACTCAATTAATATAACCAACTAAATTAATATATATAACAAACTCAATTAATATAACCAACTCATTTAATATATCATACTCAATTAATATATATAACAAATTGAATTAATATATATAACAAACTCAATTAATATAACCAACTCAATCAATATATATATAACAAACTTAATTAATATAACCAACTCAATTAATATAACAAACTCAATTAATATATATAACAAACGAATTTAATATAACCAACTCACTTGATTTATCATACTCAATTAAAATTTATAACAAACTGAATTAATATATATAACAAACTCAATTAATATAACCAACTCAATTGATACAACTAACTTAATTAATATAACAAACTCAATAAATATAACAAACTCAAATAGTATAACAAATTCAACTAATATATATCACAAACTCAATTAGTATAACATGCTCAATTAATATAACAAACTCAATTAATATAACAAACTTAATTAGTATATATAACAAAATCAATTAACACAACTAACTCCATTAATATAACCAACTTAATTAATATAACAAACTCAATAAATATAACAAACTCAAATGGTATAACAAATTCAACTAATATAACATGCTCAATTAATATAACAAACTCAATTATAATAACAAACTCAATTAATACTCCTTATCGCCATGTAAGAAAGTATTCGTTACCAATACACCCTCCTGTTATTGTGCAAGTGTGTACTATCATTGTTTCGATCAGGTTCCAGATGATGTACAGTTGGTTGATATATTAAAGTTTGAACTGTTTGTTGCATGTTTGATTTATATTTAACGAATAAGCACATTTCATTTAATAAAATGGTCTTGAAAATGTATGTTTGGTGTACCGGGAACCCGCTATTTATCATCGAAATGAAAAAACATCTAAACAAACAAACAAAACCTGGCAACGTTACCATCACAATCAGAACTTTGGGTTTTTAATTTTTCGTTGAAGTATATAAAAAAAACAGTTAACAGTTAATTAAACAGTTATGTAAGCACGGTAGTCTAGTGATAGGACGCCGGGCTCGTGACCGAAGGGTTGCGGGTTCGAGTCACGGCACGGCACTGTGTTGTATCTTTGAGCAAGATGCTTGTTCCAGTCTACTCAGCTGTAAATGAGTATGTGGTTGGGCAGTGCTAGAATTGTTGAATGCTAGCTGTTAGCGCCGAAAAGGCAGCTCCGGCTGCATGCTCCCCAGGGAGTTGAGAAAGATGTTGGCTGGTTACAAAGACCCAATAACCACGGATAATAACCTCTTTGAGACGACCCACGAACTAGGTTGTGATGAAGCGGTATATAAGAACCTCGAATTATTATTATTATAATTGTTACTAAATAACAAAATTTACAGGCGCATAAATCCATAATTGTATTTCATATTTCGATTGTTTCACCGACTCGGACTCAGTGACCGTCTGCTGTAAATACACCTGTCATATTCGCTGTCATTGCTGATAGAATTATCTTCCCAAATCGGCAAATCTTATGAATGTCTAACTTATATCATATTCGTGATAGTTATACGTGTCCTATAGGATCAATGATAATTCATATTGACGAAAGAAACAACAAAATCTCTAGCAAGTTGTCATTTGCTTGTTTATTTATATTTACAGATATTCGTTCTACATTGTTGGATTCGGGAAAAACAAAATCTCTGACAATTCATTCGCGATAAGGAGTCGTTCTATACAATATTCAGCGACTTATTTCTTGTTGCTTTTTAAGTATCCAAATTAGTAATGATGCAGTAATGTTTATATCTGATTAAATTAGATATAATGTACAAAAACAAAGCTAATATTTGGTATTCAATAATAATAATAAACATATAGTAAAACAGGACAAAAATAGTGTTGTCCTGGTTGTTGCTACATTCAAATCCACATGTTTTAAACTCCAAAAAGAAATGCGTCCTTGCAACCTTGCGAACGTTACGGGTTTCACCCTTTCGTGAACATCAAAAGAATCGCGCGGCAACGTAAC